CACACACACACACACACCTGCAAGAAGAAATAAAAGGGGTACCCCAAAGAAAGCCAAAAAGAAGATAAAAAAGAAAGGACTGTACAAGGAAAGGCAATGTAACGGTTTTATTGTGCTCATGTTGTTTGCCATTTTCGACGTAACGATGCTGTTTCAATCTTAGATTTGGTAATCTTATGTTTCATTGTTTGCTGTAGAGGGAAATGGTATGATCCTACTACATTCATAATGCAAAACTCAGATCGTGAGCAAATGCAAGACTTGCAAAACTCGAAAAGAAGTGGAGAGAGACAAAGAGCGGAACAAATGAAAAGAAGAAAAGACGAGGAAGAATTATGCGAGTTGAACCAATGCCGTCCCCTTCACTTCTTCTGCCTCTCATCTTTGTCTCCCTTTCTCCTCTTATAAACGATTAGATGCAACACAATGACCGGTTCTAATATTACTCAACATCCATTATTTTGAAAAAGTCCAACAGCCGAAGAATTATGCAAGTTGAACTTTTGAGCAATCGGGGGATGTTGAAAAAGCACGCACTAATATTATTTTTGTTTGCAATTTTTTTCTTCTTCTATGCGAAATAAGCAATTGAGATTTAATATGCTTCAAATTTAATAGGCTTTGTATGTTGTAGATGCATTTGCTGGCTTTAGGAAAGGTGTCCTGGCTGCACTGCTTGCAGGAGAAATGTTCTTAGTGTGACGAGTGAGCCCCCCACACGGTGTCCGAGAGACCCAAACGCCGCTTCCAAAACATAATTTGAAGGCAGAAAACGAGCAATAGAGGCCAAGGCCAATTGCCGGGGCCAAGAGCTGCAGCCGTTGCAGGTGCGGCTGACGGAGCGCCAGCATCCATGTTCCTCCTCCTGATCAGCTAATCCCGCCATCCTGGGTTCCATTGTCTGAATAATCCTGTCCCGGCGCTGCAGCAGTGCCGACCGTTGCACCTCGAGGCCGTGTTGAGCAAAATCTGTGTCGCCAAGCGGCCGGCGTCCAACGGACGATTGTCGCGGCGACGGCCGTACGAGAGTCGGAATACTATTCCGCCGGTGTGAGCTCGCTGTTACAACTTACCAGCATGCCACCAGTTAGCTAAAGATGTGTGGACCGTCGACCAGGTGGTTGAAGGCAGCAAGTAACCCGCCCGGGGTCTTTTTATGGCCGACCGATCAGCTGGAGCTCCAATCCAAGTGCAACACAGGTGTTACTTTTGTGACCTTCCAATGGCCACCGCTCACAGCGGCAGGTGTCTTGACACTGACACCGTGTGAGGCTGACGACCCCGGGGGGGGGGCGTGCAGTCAGCCGGTGATCGCGCACCAGGTATCCTCGGAGGCCGACAAACCCTCCATCGGTCAGCCACGCCACCCCGTCTGATGTGATCCGATGACATCGACCTGTGGCATCCCTCCCCTAGCATGGCGGTGTATCTTTCCATGTTCTAGCGAAAGACTCACTCTCATTTTGCATGTTTGGTGAGTAGTGCAGTGAGAGTGAGGCCCTGCTGCTTACCAATGGCACGCCTCCGAGCACCGGGGTACACTCTTATGAGTCTTATTAGATGTGAAAACATCCCACTTTTGCTTTTATTCCAAATCCATCTGGATTGCTCTACCTGCCCCTGCATTCAAATTGAAGAGTCTACTGTTTGAAAAATGAGAAAACAACCCATACTACCTACAGGCTACCGTGCCCTAATCCGAACTCACCTAACGATTCACAGCGACGCCGCTGTGGTGAAAGGTTTCTGAAGGAAGATCACAGGCAGCTATGGGTGAAAGGGTTCAAAAAGAGGTATTGCAGGGAAGCATCTTCGCTTTAGCGATCAGTTACTGCCACACGCTGGCGTTGCATTAACGCGCACCAAAACTGCTATGGTAGGTTTCCGTCGTCACTGTCACTGCAATCAAATCAGTTAGTGGTATGGTGGCTTCACGATGGAGATGAGGTGGTGGCGACCTCACTGTCATTCCTGCCTGCAACAGAAACAGCTGAAGGTATCCATTTTTTTTTCGGGGAGGGGGGGGAGGAATTGCATCTGTGCCCCATTTAAAGATGGGAATACCCACCGGCGAGCCTAGCTCAGTTGGTAAACCCATGAGCTGTTGAAATACAGACCCAAGTTCGAATCCAGTTGCAATCAGATGAACAGAGTTGAATAATTATGAAATACCTGGGGCCAGTCAGTTCGCAGATGATATGTCAAGGCTGTCACCGTTCTTTTTTTTCAAAGATGGGATTACCCACTGTACCCAGTCCCAGTGCCCAACTTGCATCTGTAGATTCTGTACCCAGGACAATGGTCTGTCCAAAATATTTGCATGCCCAGGCCCGACATGGGCCAAGATTGGTACTTCCAAATTGCAGTTATACCCAACTACAGGAATGCTCACCTCCCCTAGCAGATCTGCAAAGGCCTTTCATAAAAATAAAAATAAAAATCAAAAAGAAGAAGGAAGGAATGCTCAAATTACATACATACCCGGGGCAGATTATGTGCATACCCAATTTTGCCTGTCCATTTCCTGGGCATAAGCATAATTTTGTGCTGCCCAACCAAGGGCCGGTGAGACTGAGTACATGTATAAGTTGGTGCATGGGACAAGTCGGGTATTACCTTCAGTTGGACAGGGTCTGGGTATAAAATTTAAGTTGGGCGCTGGGACCGGGTATAGTCGGCATTCCCGTCTTTAAGTGGGGTACAGAATCTACAGATGCAATTTTCCTTTTTTTGTCTTTTTTAAATGTGAAATGTGTACAAACAAATTGGGAATTTTAGAACTGGAGGAAACTTTTTTTTTTCTTCTTCTTCTTTTTTTTTCTTTTTTTTTTTGGGGGGTGATCACAGCTGTCTATATTCTTCTCTCAATTTCTGTTTGTTTTTACCTTCCACTACCTACTCCTAAGACTATCTAGAGGGGACCCCGGCAAGCATAGTTTTCCTCTCTCTGTGAAGGGGAGATTTCATGTTGCCCCTTGCCCCTAATGGTTAGGGTATAGGGTTGGGGCCGCCAGTGGGGGTATGGCTAACACAAAGACCGAGACCTGCCAGTAGCTGTTCCTCCCTTTCTCATCGTCCCCCACCCTTCATCGAGTAGCAGCAGAGGCTATGGCCAACACTCCCACACACCACACACAACCCACTCGCGCTCACACTCACACCCGTGTTGGTCATAGACCCCGCTAATACCGATCAGGGGTATCCAGAGGACTATCACAGTCCGTTGGCACTCACTTTGTAATGATAATTTTTTAATATGAAGGATTTTTTTTTACAAAATGTTTTTGAACTTCTTTCATATTTCTTTTTTTTGTGGGAAGTTTTCTATTGGAGGACAAAAAAAAATCAGAGAAGTGGAGGAGAAAGGAGATGAAGGGGAGAGTGGGGATTCCTAACAGTAGAGAAGATTCAGGGAAATTTCAGCGAAATGAAGATAAAGGAGGCAAAAGAGAAGGCAAAAGAGGAGGGGAGGGAAGGAGGAGGGGAGGGACGGAGGAGGTACGAAAAAAACTTAGAAGAAATATTGATTTATGGATAAAGAAAAAAAGAAAGGCAGAAAGGAGAGACGAATGAATAGTAACTGCTTGCTCCTGAATTGAAAACGAGGCCAACAAAGAGAGAGAGAGAGAGAGAGAGAGAGAGAGAGAGAGAGAGAGAGAGAGAGAGAGAGAGAGAGAGAGAGAGAGAGAGAGTGGCGGGTTTGGGCCATAGTAAGACAGTGTGGGAAAGCTTTCGAAGGGTTGCTAGGGATATACAAGGTTTTGAGCATTTGTAGGACCTCTGTGGTGGCGTGTTTCGTGGTGGCCAGACCTTTTTCTGAAGTTTGTCGTAGTAATTTTATAAGTCGTTCAAAATAATCTTAGCCATAGCCAGGTAATGGCCCCGGTACCTTAAAATTTTCAAAATTTCATGTAAATTTCCATATGGGACGCTGGGCCCGGTTCCCAGCACGTGCTGCTCCCCATGAATAGATTGGAGCCTTGTCCCATTAAAAAAAAAAAAAAAAAAAAAAAAAGTCTGGTTTTTTACTTCGACAGGGAGGGGGGAAGAGTCTTTGCCAAAGAAGATCGACACAGCATGATCCCTTGACCACTCCACCTGAAGGCGGGCCAAGTCTGGATTGATCACAACCCTCACGGAGTCATCCCCCATAATAACTGTGTTCGGAGCCAACCGATTGGGAAGTATGCCATCTATGAAACAAGCACTCAGTAAATCCTTTACTCTTTCCTTTTCGGAGTCTGTCGGTGGGGACGACAACACTAACGGGCCGTTGACCAGAGCCTCTGGCCCTCCTGCCCCTTCTGCTGAAGCCATCACAGCAAGTGCCTTTCGATTGACTAAACCTGAAAAACTTAAATTGCAAATTAAGATAACTAAAAGAACTACCACCCCGTTCTTAACAGAAGGCATCCGACCAACATACGACATCCGGGACATAAGAGTCCGAGTCTGTATCACTGCGCAATGGAAGTTATACCTTCTTTGTAGTCGTCCTTCTTCTTCTCGGGAGCCGGTCTGCATAGAAGGCAGCCTGTCGACGGTCGTTCATCTTGAGCATCCTTCTCCAGGCAAAGAGTCGAAGTGCCGTAGGCCGCTGTTCACCTACCCCGCCTGCCTGCCTCCTG